TCAGTGGTTCTCTCAACTAGAGGACATTTTACACACACACACACACACACACACACACACACACAGGAAGGGCATTTGGCAGTGTCTGTAGACCTTGACTGTCACGACTGGGGAAGGGGTTCTACTGACATCTAGTGGGTAGAGGCCAGGAATGCTGCTGAACATCCTACAGTGCATCGTACAGTCCGCCACAACAAAGGATGATCTGGTCCAAAATGCCAATAATCCGGAGATCGAGAAACCCTGGTCTAGCACTTCCCAGGAGTATTCTTCACCTTGGCCCCTTTCTCGACTCCCCTGGGTCTAAGAGATCTGAGATCCACTTGGGGGGGGGGGGCAGGGGGTCCAGGAAGGAACAGATCTACACCTACCCATTCCTAGGTAAGGTACCAGGGTCCGTGTTCAAGCTACGGATCCGGCAGCCACAGTCACCAATTTCCCACTGTGGCACCTTTAGGTTCACTCTCTTTTGTTCTTTAAAGGGAGGAGTTCCTGTCTGGGGGAAAATGCCTATCAGTCCCATTGCTTACTATCACCCCAAAGCCTACGCTGTCTGTGCCCAGCTTAGGTTAGCTTCCAGATGTAGCCACAAGATGGCACCCTAACCCACCAGGAACGCTAAGGCTCTGGGCCTGGGAGAGCAGGACACAGGATGTGCCAACCTGGACAAACGCCTGGGGGCTGGCCTTGAGCCAGTTCCAGAGCCTAGCAGGACTAGATCAAAGGCCTGTAAGTGCCAGGTGTGGAAACACAGGCCAAACTTGGCTTCAGGACTCCTTTCACCTTTTTCCAGTCGGGCCCCAGTTCATCCTCTAAGCCAATTCCACCACCAATCTTACTGGGGCTCTGCAACCCCTCCCCTCTGGTCTGAACAAGAGAAATTCCAGAGCTGAGGTGGTAAGGATAGAGGGCTGATTAGTAATAATATCCAAGAATAAAGACATTGAAGCATAGAGAAATTGAGTCATTTGCCCGAGGTCACAGCTAATCTATGGTAGAGCTGGGATTTGAACCCATGCAACCTGGTTCTATGTCCCTAGCTTCTGAACACCACCCCCGCATTGGTAGTTCACTGACCCCCCTGACCAGGCTACTGATCCCAAAGGCCCTAGCATGGGACCACAATCTTTCCTGTCTGCATGGGAGGAGGCAAATGGCTATGAGTAAGGGAGAGACTGCTCAAAAATGAACAGGAGTGAGGTTCTTGGCGGGGCTGAGGGTCTGGGGCTAGCGGTTGTAGGAGAGAAGCTAAGGCCCCGTCAGCAATTCTGCCTCCCACCCTCATTTCCTTGGGGCCTTTTCCTTCTTTTCCCGTAATGCCCTCCTGGTTTTTCTGGGCTCTCTGCAAATGCCAGCCTTCTTACAGTGTGAAGAGGGTGTGAGAAAAGAGACTTTTATGTCCCTGCTTAAAGCAGAGAAGGTGGGGGCAGTTTTTGAGGCCTGGGCTCGGGTGTCATCAAGAACGAAGTAGAGAATCCTAAAGTGGGACAGTGTGGGGCACACCAGGGGCAGCTACCCTCTCCCACCTGGGAGGCTCTTCTCTCTCAGCCTTCTTTGCTCGGCTCACAGGGGGCTTTAGGGTGTGACGGAGACCCTTTCACACTTCTTCCAGCCCTGGCCTGTTTCTTTTTCTAGCACATCCTCCAGAGCCAGGCCTGACTAGAGCTCTTAATTACCCCACCTTCCCCCTACTAGGAGCCCTTCACCTCTCTCTCTTTCCCCCTTCTCCTCCCCACCATCTGGGGCACATTTCAGCTCCTCACTGTGACTCACCATGAGCAGTGGCCTGAGTGGACTCCACACTAACTCCCTGAGAGGCCCTGGGTAAGTCCCTCCCTTTGACTAGGACTCAGTTAAGGGCTCCAGACTCCTATGGCCTCTGACACTGGGATTCTAGAATCCTGGCCTTTCTCAAATCATCCAGGCTTTAATGAGGAGCTCCTGTGCTCTGGGCACGGTGGAGGGAAACAAACAAGAAACATCCCTGGGGGACTGATATTCACTTTTTGGAAATGAGATGAGCTAGAGTGAAGGTTAGGGAGTCATAGTTTGATCCCATGTAGTCCTGCAGGAGAGGGAAGGGATGGCGCCCTGGGCCCTTGTGGCTGGCAGAATCACAGAAGGTTTCCTAGGGAGGGAGGAGAGAAGAACATTGGGCTGGAAGGAAGGGAAGGTATGGGAACGCCTCTTTCTTGTCTCTTCTCATCTTGATTTCTCCAGCCAGGTATATGTGTGTGTGTGTCCATCTCTCTGTGTCTCTCTTTTTCTTTTCCCTCCGGGGTATCCTTATCTCTGTTTTATCATCTCCTTGCATTAGAGCAGAGCTTTCTGAGAGTCTGTGCCCAAGAGATCTGAATCCAGGCCAGGCTGAGCCACACCAGGTCAGGCCTCCTCCTGGTTAGGAAATGGGGCTCAATGGTCGGGATGAGAGGTGAACTCAAAGCACTCTTGCCTCTGCATTATTCTGAGATTGCAGGGGGAAAGCTCCTATTTAGAGGAATAACATAGATCCATCTCCGAAGGAAGGGCTGGCCCCTCCATCCTGGGCCCTCATATCTCCTATCCCTCATCTCTGGCCCTGCCCCCGACCTCTCCAACTATCTCTGCTCCTCCAAACCTATTCCGAACCACACACAGATTTCCCTGGGGCCAGGCTGGGAGTCCCCTGGGGCTAGGCTGGGAGTCCCCTGGGGCTGGACTGGGATTCCCCTGACCAAGTGAGGAGAGAAATGCCTGCAGCACAGCTTTGTCCCCAGGCCTACAAGAGTGTCTGCAGGTCAGTGTCAAGGGACAGCTGTCTGCACAGTTAGCAAGTGCCGACAGGTAAATAAGAGTCTCGTGTCTTCTTAATTAAATCGCCCTTTGCCCAAGCAGCCTTGTGTTCGATTGAGCTGGGATGAGATCAATAAGCCTCTTTCCCAGCACAGCCACCCCTGGAGCTGGGCCTGACCATCCCAGCCCTGTCCAGGCCCACCTGCCCACTTCCCCACCAGCCTAGGAGCCCCCTCAAAGGCAGGGTCTTTTGTGCTCATGAGCCTGGGACAGAGCCTGGAACAAGTGTGGAGTAAAGGAGTGATTGCTCAACTGAGTAAACTGAGGCACTGGCAGCAAACATGGGCCCTGGAAGGCACAGAGGCCCAAACTGCAACTTCCACCCCCAGGATCACCCCTGAAGCTGCAGGAATCACAGCAGGCAGCTGCTCCCATCCAGTCCCCAGACACGGGATTTGTTTACCAACCAGGGCAGCTGAAGTCCTGCCCGGAGAGGGGGGATTGTCAATGTTCAAGACCACCTTCTGACCTCTAAGGGCAGAGTGTCCTTCTCATAAGGGATCCCCACTGAAGGATCCAGGGTTAGTGTGGGAGGATCAGTGAGCAGGATCAACATGGTAGAAATGCGTGGCGCTCATGGGAGACTATGGTCAGCCTGCAGTCATGAAAGGCCCCGGGGTCAGTAAGGGATTGAAAGGGGTTAATAAACACCTAGGATTATTGGATTGTTAGAGAGTTTAGACAACAGCATGTGTGTTGTGTGTATGGGGGTAGGGGAGACATTTTAGGGTTCATGCTAGAGGGTACCTTTGAAAGGGTCACGTGGGCTCCAGATTCTGGTATAAGGTTCAGCATTAAAGGGTTGCTTGGAGCGGCCAATACTGGTCCCGGTCAAGGTGTCTTTCTCATAGTGGTCAGGGACATTTCGGTTCACAGGGGATAAGACAGACCTCAGTTTGAAAAGAGAGGGGCAGGCGCAGACGCCCTTCTCACCTTATTCTGACCGGGGGACGCTGCCCTAGACGGCTCCCAAAGCCCTAGCCCATTGAGTGGCGCTTCCCGAAAGTGAAGCGTCAGCGAGTTCCCCGGGAGCTGCAGGAGCCGTGCGGGGCGTGCGCCCCCAGCGCTGGGGTTGAAGGAGGCCAAGCTCGGCACGGGGCTGGGAGGGGGGCGCGGAATCAGGGCTTTTTAGGACCCAGCGCGGCGCCTCCCTCCGGGGGCGAGTGCGGCTGCGCGCGCCGTGTGCCCGTGTCCGGAGAGCGGCGGGCTGGACGCGGACCGCGCGAGCAAGCAAGCAAGCGAGAAAGAGAGCCAAGCAGCAGCCCAGGCGGCAGCAGCGTCGCGGCGGCGGCGGCGGCGGCGGCGGCCGCTCCGCGCCTCACCTTCCCGGCCTCGCCTCGTCGCACCCCGACCCGCCACCCTCGTATCCCGGGCCCGACCACCGCAGCCCCCTCGTTTCGGCTGGCAGCGCCCACCGCTTGCTTAAAGCGGGGCGCGGAGCGCCGGGCGCAGAGGCATCGGAGACAGTGCCTGCGGGCCCCGCAGACCGAATCCAGCCTGGAGAACCCCTGCCGGGCCCCACACAGCTCCACCACAGTCTGGGAGCTGTCCCTTCAGCACCGCAGCCGGGGCCGAAGCCTGAGTCTGAGCGCAGCCCAGCGGAACCCCAGCTTGAGCCTGAGCGCACCAAGCGCAGCGCTCCACGGCAGCCGCACCGAGCAGCGTTCCGGTGCCCCTGTCCAGGGGGCCCGCCATCTCCTTCAAGAGGCGGGGAGAAGGAGCGAGCAGGGCGGGAGGGCGGGCAGGCGCGCCCGCCGCCGGGGGAAGCAGGCAGCCAGGCAAGGAAAGAGGGAGGGGGCTGGAGCCCGCCCTGCGCCCCGAGCTGCAGCCCAGCCACGCAGGGAGGAAGGCAGCGGGCATCAATCTCTCCGCGTCGAGAGCGCGCTGCGGTGACCACCGCACAACAGGGCGCGAATTTTCCGGCCCCCTCTCCATCCCTCCTCCTGCCAGGGACAGGTCTATCTGACCGGCCCTGGGGGCAGCTGACCTTACCCCCAAAAGCTTTGTGTCGCTTTCTACATTTTCCCGCTGAGATGAGAACAGGAGCCCGGTCCCCCCACCCTCTTTTCCCTCCTCCCGGGGTTCGCCGCTGAGCACCGCCCCCCTCCCTCCCTTCCTCCTTCCCTCTCTCCCGCCCTTCTTTCCTCCTCTGCCTCCTCCGCAGCCGGACCAGCTCCCTCCTACATCTGGCGCCCAGAGACACTTGGGATCCCGCGCACACTCACTGCCCTGGACCAGCACCCGACAGAAATCGCCCTGAGGGGCTTGGGTCGCTCTTGGGGTGGCCAGAGCCGCTGTCCTCTGTCCCCCTCGACGGCTGAGGGGAGGGGGGAGGAGGCCGAGCGCCCCCCTCCCCGGCGCCAACTCCCCCTGGCGGCCGCTCCCATGGGTGTCGCTGGGCCGCGCCATGCCTAAGGGGGCGCCGCGATGGGCCAAGGGGACGAGAGCGAGCGCATCGTGATCAACGTGGGCGGCACGCGCCACCAGACGTACCGCTCGACGCTGCGCACGCTGCCCGGCACGCGGCTCGCCTGGCTGGCGGAGCCCGACGCCCACAGCCATTTCGACTATGACCCGCGTGCCGACGAGTTCTTTTTCGACCGCCACCCGGGCGTCTTTGCGCACATTTTGAACTACTACCGCACAGGCAAGCTTCATTGCCCGGCCGACGTGTGCGGGCCGCTCTACGAAGAGGAGCTGGCCTTCTGGGGTATCGACGAGACCGACGTGGAGCCCTGCTGCTGGATGACGTACCGCCAGCACCGGGACGCGGAGGAGGCGCTCGACAGCTTTGGCGGCGCGCCCCTGGACAACAGCGCTGACGACGGAGACGCCGACGGCCCTGGAGACTCGGGCGACGGGGAGGACGAGCTGGAGATGACCAAGCGCCTGGCGCTCAGCGACTCCCCTGACGGCCGGCCTGGCGGCTTCTGGCGCCGCTGGCAGCCGCGCATCTGGGCGCTCTTCGAGGACCCCTACTCATCCCGCTATGCGAGGGTAGGCAACAACTTACCCATCAGAAATGGGGTGGGGGTGGGGTGTATTCGAGAACTGGCGCTAGGCAGTCAAAACTGAAAGGCCGTGAGTGTGGTGTGTGTTATTACGTGTGTATGTGTGTAAGAGGGGGTGTTTTTGCTAGGCTGACTAGTTTTTTATGTATGTAAGGTCTGCGTCTGTATTTCCAGATTTAATATGTATGAGTGAGTATGAATGAGCGTGTCTGTGTGTATGAGTAGGCTGTGTGTGCATATTTATGTAAGTGTGGGTAAAGAATGTGGTGAGAGTGAGTGAGCATGTGTATATGTTTAAGTGTGCAGGAGTGCCCGTGCATCCATGTTTGTGTCTTTGCAGATGTGTACTGTGAAGGTCTGATTGGCCCTTTGGATGTTGGTGTGGGGAGGAAAGCTGGGCATCCTTCCTCCTTCCCAGGTAAGGGCATCTGGAGCCAGCCAGGGCCCACAGACCAGGGCTTGAGGCCTGGTTCTGCAGCTTGAGATCCCCTTCACCTCCCACCCCCACCCCAACCCCCAGCTCCCCAAGAAGCAGCCTCAGGCCATTCTGGGTAGGAATTTTTATGGCTGATTACTAGCTTGGAGTTGGTGTTGGGATAGGCTCTGGGGAGGTGGGTGTGATTCCTCTGAAACCTGCTCCTGGGAACAGAGCCTGTCCTTCTTCCTTGTCAAAAGGGCAGGGTATTGGAGGGGGCCACTGAGCTTATGCCTTGGACCTGCCAGGAGCAGAGAGGGGCTCTGAAGGGGGAGCCGACACCGAGAAAGTCTGTGAGAGGTGGGTGTGTCTTCACTGGCCACTCCCCTTTCCTGACGGCAGTTGGTTACAGGGGAGGAAGGGCACCCTGCTCCTGACCTTGGCTCCTCAGGTGGCCTCTCTGGATCAGTTTCCTCTTCAGTAAAATAGAAGAGGGAGGTCTGGTGAATCCTGAGGGTTTTTACTACTTAACTAAACCCAAAAGGGAGACACTGGTTACAGCCTTGAAAGAGATTCCACTTGCCTTCACTGGACTCTGTCCTCAGAGGCCGGAACAGAGCCTAAAGAATGAAGGGGAGGGTCAGAGTTGTTAGTCATTTAAAGCAGAGCCCCTCCCCCAATCATAGTCACCACCCCCTAATCCCCTACTAGGCCAACCTCTGCCTCTGCCCACTCTCCTTTACTGTTCTACAGCTCTCCCTCCTGCCCGCTAGAACTGAGGGGGAAGGATGGGGCACGGGAGGGGGCAGGAGTGTCTGCTGAGCTACTGAGAATCAGTGTGGGAAGAGGACTTGGGGGCACTAAGGTGTCCACAGGCAGAAAATAAGCTGTATTGAGGCACAGGCCTGGGAGCATTGTTACTGAGATAAAACACTCAGTGTTTTAGCATCTTTCAAGGAGGGTTCAGCAGGTCAGAGTGTAATACATTAAATCCTAGAATAGATGTGTATGGGAGTGTTACTAGGGAGAGAGCCAAACTCCTCCTTTTGCCACTGAGGACCCTGCCCAAGGTCACCCAGGGAGCTAGAGGCTAAGAATCAGGTCTTCTGGGACCTCATCCTCCTCAGCGCTGGCTACCTTGGGCTCAGCTTGAGGGCTCTGACCTATGTCTCTGAGTTTCAGGGTAGGCAGAGGTCATGTGTGGCAGGTTCCAGCCCCTCCCCTGTCCATCTTCTCCCACTGAACACTCTTAGGCTGCAAGGTGGCCTTCACCCAATGCATATAAATGGGCTGGCTAGTGTGGTTTGGAGTCTTGTTGGTATACAAAACCTTATAGAAAAGTCCTGATTCAATCGAGTGTCCATTGACAAGCAGACTTGGAGGGAAAAGCTGGGCAGTAGATGGGGATGGAGGTAAGTTAGATGGTGCCCCCCCACCCCTGCCTATCAGTGCTACCTTCTTTCCGCAGTAGCCTCACAGAGTCATACCAACTTCCTCGGGTGACAGATGAGGACACTGAGGCCCACAGGAGGAGGGGCTGCCCAAGGGCACACAGAACTGAGGGCAGAGCTGGGATTAGAACCCAGGCTTCCTGCCGCCCTCCTGCAGGCCTCGCTGCATTGCGCTGCCTCTCTGCAGCTCATCTGCGCAGGGACCAGCCAGCTGCCCGCCCTCCCTCCCCCTCCATCTTTGCGCTGCTGCCTGCTGCTGTCACCTTTGTTTATCCCTCCCCCACAGGGGCCCCAAGCCTCCTCAAATTGGTGGAATTCAAATGTTTATTGTAGATTCTAGATCAGAATCCTGTATGTGTGTGACATTGTATTTGTGTGTGAAAGAAAAGCTGCCTGTGTGAGAGAATCTGTGTAAGAGATTCTGTGTGGCTGTGAGAGAATCTTCATGTGTGTGAGAAAGACTGTGTGAGAGAGTAACGAGTGTGAGACCCGGGGTGCAGTGGGGGGGGGTGAGACTGACTGTGACATTCTATGTCTCTGTCCGAGAAATTCTGTGTGAGCGTGAGAGACAGATTGTGTATGTTCTGAGAGATGGACTTCGTGTGTGAGAATGAGACTGTGTGGGGGACAGTGCATATATGAGGAAAAGAGACCGTGTGTGTAAGAGATACTGCACACATGTGTGTGTGTGTGTGTGTGCATGTATGTGAGAGATTCTTGGGAGAGGTATGAAAGACTTGAGGTGAGTGTGAAGGCATTGATATGTGTGTGTGTGTGTGTGTGTGTGTGTGTGTAAGGCTGTGTGTGGAGCGGGGAACCCTGTGTGATACAGACTGTGTGTGAGAAACTGTGTCAGTGTTGCTGTGTGTGCTTGTATGTGAGATGCGAGAGAGACCTTGTGGTGCCTGGGCATGAGTTACCTTGAGGAAGATGAAACTCCAGACCAGCTTCCTGCCTTGGTCTCCTGGGACTCCTGAGCTGCCTCAGTGAGCAGTTTCCTTCTCATTTCCCATCCTCAATGGAAACAATCTGTAGCGCTGGCCAGTTGTTGATGCACGGACCTGACGGGGAGGCCGTGGCACTGGCTCTAGAAGATAGGGGCGACGTGGCTGGGGTGGGAGGTCCCGCCTGAGCTCCTCGGGGTGACAGTGCTAGCTGGAGTCGTTGGTTCCCTGGCCTTTCTCTCCTGTGGTGTTCTGGGCACCCAGGCTGGGGGCGGTGAGGGGTAGGGAGATGAGCTGTGACATGATTAGCCCAGTTTGTGTTCTGGGGTGAGGGGTGGTGCCCTAGACACACACAATCAAAGGATGATGTTACTATGTGGTAGGGGCTGTGAAGGGGCTTCCGGGGACTGAGAGTAAGAGCTGTCCCAGAGGATGTAATGCTGGGAGAAGCTTTGAGGGGCAAGTAGAGATTAACCAGGCAGATGGCAGGGAGCAGCAGTCCTAGCATGCAAAGCTGTGGGAGGTGTGGGAGCAGGCAGGAGGGTGCTGGGGCAGCCCTGACTTGAAACCTGCCCTCCTCTCTTCCTTGGGGGCCAGTGCAGGTCTGAGGTCCTTGGCTTTTATCTATGATTTGCATGTTGTCATCAGGAACATTGTTTTGTGTCAGGTCAGGGCCAGTGGTGGAGAGTATCCTGTGTGTGTGTGTGTGTGTGTGTGTGTGTGTGTGTGTGTGTGTTGACATTTGACCCCAGAGTCACTTGGCCTTCCAAAATGACAAGCAAGTACCACCTACATCCACCCCACTGCCTAGCTCTCCCCCAACTCCAGGTCTTTGTCCCCACTTCCATGAGACCTGATGTAGTCTGATGCCTCCCCAACTCTCTGGGAAGGAAATTCAGCTGGTAGCTGGGATGAAGAGCCCAGCCAGAGACTTCTGTTTCTCCCTTGGGTCCCAGCTGACACAGAGCTCTTGGAGCCTTGGCTTGGCATGCAGAGGGATGGGGACAGAGCTGCTACCAGGGCCTTCCTGGGCAGCTTGCCCCCTCACCTCACAGCGCACTTCCCCAGGTCAGGAGACCCGTGAGTAGTGGCGAGGGACTGGGTACGTTCCTCTTCCAGCCACCCCGAGTACTCCTGCCACAGTGTATCACCCATTCAGTGTTCTTCTCTTTCTCATGATGCTTTTACAGGTGTCCTCGTGTCTTTGAATGGCCTCTCCCTCCCCCAGGCCCACTCCTAGTAAAAAAAAAAAGGCACAAACCCAGCATCTCCTAGTCAGTGTCTCTCAGCCTCTTCACCTCTAAAACAGGCATAGTGATAGAACCCACCCCGAAGAGCTGATGGAAAGATTAACTGAGGTAATATGTGGAGAGCCCCAAGTCACAGGGCCTGGCATGCAGTACGTGCTCAGTAAATGTTGGCTGCTGTATTGCTCCTGTTGGTTGTATTATCATTTTACTTCATGACTCTCTAGACTCCATCCTTTGCCCTGTCTCCATGTTCACGCTCTTGCCTCAAGCCACCACTATTTCCCTCAGGCCAACCTCTCCAGCTTCCTGACTGCTCTCCTACCTCCAGTCCCTGTACCTCCAGTTCATTCTCCACTTGGCAACCACAGAGATCTCTTCAACTCACAAATCTGTCAGCTTACCTCCTTGCCTGCTTAACACCCTTCACTGCTTCCCCAGCCCACACCTGCCTACCTCTCCAGTCTCCTCTGGCCTGGTTGTCCTCATCACTCACTGAGCTCTAGCCACCCTGGCCTCATTTCAGTTTCTTATATGTGCCAGGTCTGCCTGCCTCAGGACCTTTGCATATGCTCTTCTGGAGCACTCTTTCCTCCTGGTTTGCCCTTCTTCATCCTTCACACCCTGCTTCAAACACTAGTTCCTTCCCAGATTCCACAGGCTGGGTCAGGATCCAGAACCAGAGTCCTTCTCTTCAGAGAAGCTATCTGGTTTGTAGTAAAATGTTCATTAGCAGCTTTGTTCGATTCAGTTTTGTCTCCCCGTCCAGACGCTAAGCTTCTACGAACACAATATAATAGGAGCTATTATTATGACAGATGAGGAAACCGAGGCCCAGAGAGAAGTGCTTTACCCAAGGTCCCATGTGAGCAGGTTCTTTGCTGGGGGCAGATGGGGGGCGGGGTACAGAGGGGGCGGGTTCAGAAACC